TTTTTTTTTTTTAATTTTTTTTCTTGTTACGGTATAATTTTATAGACCAAAAAAATAAGTTTCTGAAAATTTCAGTTCAAAATTCGAATTTTGAAAGGTCGCTCATAGTTTTTTTCAATTTATTAGTGCATTAGTTTAGATTTTTTCGAGTGACCTTTTACTATTCAAATTAAAATTCCACGCATTTTTTTTTTTTTTTTTATTTAGTACAATAATCGATAAGAATACATCTCGAGATGAACTAAAAATCAAGCACAGCATAGAAAATATAATTTTTTTTTAATTTAGTAATTTTATTTAATCAACTGCCAGGCGTGAGTTCTAATCCCAAGCTGGTCTTAGAAACCAGTTTGGTTGAGATTTGACCTTGCCGCGTAATTTAAGATTTTTTCAAACCAAAAAGACCCCAGCGTACTACTCCCAACACTTAAAGTCGGCGATTTGACTAATTAACGAAAAATAAAAAAAATTATGAGCGACCTTTCAAAATTCGAATTTTGAACTGAAATTTTCAGAAACTTATTTTTTTTTAGTCTATTAGATTATATCGTAACGAGAAAAAAAATTAAAAAAAAAAAATTTTCGATTTTTGACGATTTTTGAAATTTTGAAAAATTTAGAGTGACCTCTTAAAAATTTTTTTTTGAGCTGTCCTTTGGTGAGGGCTCTTAAAACATCAAAAACTAACATTTTTTCACTCGAGACTTAAAAAAAAAAAATAGTCGGTTTTTTTGCGCCACCCTAATATATATATTCTCGTACCAGAAGAGATGATAATTAAAAACTCTGGTAGCCTATAAGTTAAACGTTAGTTATTTTTAAAAGTACTACAGTCAAATTCACCTGATACTTAATTTTATTATTATTAATTAATTAATTAATTAATATAAAGAGAATTATTTTGCATTTATATTTAATGGGACCAATGGCAGCTTTATTTTCCCAAACGCGTAGGCATTATATATTGAATATGCTTTTATTAAGTTATCTTTTTTTTTTACCATAAGATTTTATAAAATATATATATTATATTATATATTATTATACGTATTAACTAAAGAACAAATAAATGAAAATGAATTTTAATAAAATGAAAATATATTTGTGAATTTTTTTTTTTTTAGAATAAAAAGTGGACGAGTATTTATTTATAAGTGGTGACAGCAAGTAATTATTTTATATATCAAGTACATGAAATAATATTTTTTTACAGCCGTTCATACACATAATACAGTTTTTTAAGTAATTAACTATTTTAATTTTCCTTCAGTTGTTTCATAAGACATTATTGTTTTAATAAAATACAAAGGATGACGTATGCAGAGAAATCGCCGATTACACAAAGCGTCTTCAAGATATTCTCATTCTCATTCTTATTTTTTTTTTTTTTTTATATCTATTCTTTACATTATAATCATATCGCAAATTACATATTGAAAAATTATCCTAAGGACTATTATGCAAACATTTGTCTGTACATAAATCCTGTTTTATACAAATCTAATTATTTTTTAAAAAGTCACTATTTATTAAGAGTCAATTAGCAAGCAAAATTTTTTACAATAAACGATCAACAACTTATACATTGTCATGGTTAATTTAGAATTAGACATAATTAATTTACAAGCTCGTTACGGCGAAGTAATTTAACGAACTTTAGGGCATTGCACTGCTTTGAAAAACCTGGAATGTGTTGACTCAGTACTAATTGGGTCTAATTACAGTATAATCGGTGAAAGTAAATGAAAAACTATAAAAATGTGAAAAAAAAGACAGTACTAATAACAGACATATAATAAAATAGCAAACTATAAATAATAATAAAAAAAAAAAAGAAATCTATTGATGTGAAAAAATAATTGAGGTCATTAAATATTAATAACACCTCTGCTTAAAAAACTTTCACAAGACACGAAAAATAGTTTGATGCTAACTAAAACTACATACAATTTTATTTACATCCTCATTACTGTATATTTTTTCCCGTTAAACTGTCTTACATTTAATGTACATCCTGAATTACTGGCTCATTAAACTCTTCTCATTATACAACTCCTAGATTCTGGCACATCATAGTTTTAAAATCGTACATTTTAAACTCACACGCACGCAGTACTCCTATTTTACTGTTTCATCCAGTATTAATACTCATCTCTAGGTATTTATCAATTGTATGAATATAAACAATATTGATGTTTAAGACAACTTTTTTTTTTTTTTCATTTTCTTCTATGATTTAACACTTTCAATTCATTTTAATACCAGCAGTTTTTGCATTACTATTAAAATTGTAAATTATTATAATTAATCATATTTATCGTTAATATTATTATTATTATCATTAAAATTTACTTGTGAATATATTTGGTTTAAATAAATAGAATGAAGCGTAAGTTATTTTTTACTTAAAAAAATAAATACCTAATTGACTTTGAAAAATAATGTAAAAAATTTTTTGATTGTAAATTTAAATAATTGATCATTAAGCCATTAGCGGAATTTTTCAACTACCTAAAAAGTTAAAAATGATTTTTAATAATCAGCTAAATGTATTTTTTGGAAGCAAAACCCATCACATTAGTGCTGTTTTTCAGATTTCAAGTGATTACTTGAATTGTTCGGTTGATCGTTCGCTAGATTGTCGTCAGAAACCTCTTCACTGCTGCTACTGCGGATATCGCCCTCCATCTAGTTAATAAAAGAAAAAAAATCGATAATAATGAATCATAACACGACACGGTGAGTCACAGTTAAGAAAAATCAATATTAACGTGTAATTAGATAATGTAAGTTTGTATTTGTATATTGTGTGAATATAGTTGAATTACCTGGCCGGCGTTGAATGCATTGTAGGCAATTTTTAAAATCAAGTAAGTCCAAAAAGTATGGAGAACAAACAGTAGTATTAATAATGAGTTAAATATATAATATGCTGGGAACATTGGTACTATTTTTGGTGCTGATATTGACGTACTGTAACAGGAAAAATTTTATAAGTCAACATTTATTAATAGTTAACGATCATTTTATCAACAATTAACACAAATTATTAATGACTCACCTGTAAATAATCCACAACGGATAGATAACCATTCGTGTTATCAACCACAAAATAGTAAAAATTCCAAAAATAGCGTCACAGGTTTTTTGATAATTAGCATATTTAGCCATTTTAGCAGCCTATTGTTAAACAAAATATTTGTTAGATTACTTATCATAAAAAATAAATATTTATAAATTTTATTTGTTTAAGCAGTTAGATAATAAACAAAAAAAAAAAAATTTCAACATACTTCTAAGAAGATATCAGCGCAATCGTGTACAAGTAGTACAAGGGAACCAATTCTTGTGAGATTTCCAACCCAGGAGAAGCTCATAAGGATAATGGTAGCTTTGTGATGGATAAACATTTGCCAGAAATCTTTTCTTTTAACATCGAAAAATTGAGATATGCTCAGCGAGCAGTAGAACGATATGGAGATCATATAGTACCACCAAATGTCATCCGTTACCGCGTGATACGGGTAACCGTAGTAGCAGTTTTTTATGTCCCAGAGCCAAGGCTTGTCCCAAAGGACGACTAGGCCGTAGATAAATATTAAAGAGTAGTAAAGGCATCTGAAGCTATAAAAAATTCAACAAATTGTTACTTGAATATTAATCAAAAAAGTAAAGATGGTTGACATTATCAATAATTTATCAATATTTACCAATTCTCACAGAATTTAGTCAAAGTGGAAGGTTTATCTTGAGACCGCCTTAATCTTAGCCACCTTTCAACTTGTCTCTCAGACCAGTCTAATTGTTTAGCTAAAGCCGTTATCTGCTTGTGCTTTATCTTCTTGCTGTAAGCCTTTTCTAGGAGCGCATTTGGCGTGGCTTTTTTCGTCCTCGATGTTTTAATACCCAGGGATTTGCCAAACGGAGCGAAGCAAAATCTAATTAAAAAATTCAATATATTTAATTACACATTTACACTCTATTATTATTATTATTATTATTAATAGTTACTATTACTAATTAACGTTATAGTAATGATAATTATTAGTATAATTAGATAAGTCGTTTTGAAACCGGTAAGATAACCTACAAAGAATTTTTAATAATTATTTTAGATAACCTAATGATGACCGGCACGTTAAACGTATCTGTTATTAAAAAATATGAACTTTGAAGTAATAAAAAGAATGTGTTATAACTTAAAAAAACAGTACTCACCTCTCTAGACAATATCTGACGACGAGTAGTCCAAGGGCCATCGGCAATGGATATAAAAGGTGATGAGAATCCGCATACTTGTTTTCCGAATTAGGATTAATATCGTCCCACGTTATATTTGGTGGTAACCAAATGTCAGGAGACCAAAAACTCGAAGAAATATTTTTCAGGATCTCCATTATTTGAGATCCTGAGACACGTGATTGTTGATGAGTCCTTGCTTGCTGCTGTTACACAATTGTATTAACTGTACAGTCTAACGTTATTTTTTTTTTTTTTTTTTTTTTTATTAAATAAATAATCGTTACCGTGAGCGTGGAGGACTGTGGAAGTGCTCCACCCTGTTAGAAGCCTCCTCAAACACAGACTACAGACACCACAATGCGTACTACGATAAAATAATCAAAGAAAAAATATTATATATATATATATTTTATATGCGTATGTACTGTACTTACGTTTTAATACTGATGTAATGCACGTGTGTTTGCTTTAATTTAATATGTTGGTACTCACAATATATATATATATATATATGTAATAATGTAAATTTTTCAGTTCTCGGTGTCCATACCGGGCGCTGCTAGTGCCAACCGGTACCGTATCATTGAGAGCCAGGCTTACCGACACCAACATGTCAGCAAAGTAGGTGCCTGCTTTGAATTTTCATCAGTTTGTACAACCACCAACACCAAAATACCCATAACACACGGCCCTTGGTGTAGTCTTGGGATCAAACAGTGACACTGAAAATTTATGATAATATGAAATAAATATATACCTATAAAAAGAGTTCATTGAATCATGGAAGACGCAACAGTAACTCCAGCACCTGAAAATTCTGGTAATTTTCCTAATTTATTATTATTTTATCAATAAATATGTTATTATTGTTGTTTTAATTTATTCAATGAATGCGTTACTTTTTTTTTTACAGTTAATCAAGATGAACTTATCCTTCAACAACAACGGAGCATCGAAAAAGAGGTTACTGTCTTTTGTTAATCTTGTCTAGACGATATTTGAAATTTATTTATATTTTATTATTTTTACAAGTTATTTTTAATTGATATGCGTGTATTGTTATAGATATCGGAATCAATACCTCTTATTGGTGAAAAAGAGTCACTGAAAGGTCTTGAACGAGAGTATGAAGAAGACCCAGTGTATTTATCAAAAGCTAAAGTCTTGGGAGAGAAATATTCATTCATAAGACGTACCAGACCAGATGGCAATTGTTTTTTTCGGGCATTTAGTTACGCTTACCTTGAAAGGCTGATCAATAACAAAGAGGAGTATGATAAGTTTAGGGATCTTGCTTTTAAGAGCAAAGACAATTTAGTTGCTCTGGGATTCCCTAAATTTACTGTTGAAGATTTTCATGATACAGTAAGTTTATTAATTTTATCTACTAGTTAGAAATCAATAATAAAATAATAAATTTTTTCAGTTAAATTTAACTTTAAATGACGAATTTTAAAAAATCGTATATGCCTGGAAGGAATACAGGCTTACGATAATATAAATTCTTAGACAAAAAAAAGAATAAATTCTTAAATAAAAAGAATATAATTAGATTAAAATTTTCGCTGAGATAGACCGGATTGCCAATAAATAAATTCAGAATAATAATAAAACCTATTTTGAGTTTTAATGTTGGACTTTTTTTATTGATTTTATTGATAATTTTAATATGCTTGATAAAATTTAAAAAAAAAAACTAAATTTATTTATAATTTATAACTATTGAAATTTTAGCATGAAATACTATCAAGTTTTATTCAATCGTACTTTATGCAATAATGATGAATAAAAAAATATCTGTTTTAGTTTATGGAAGTTATTGATAAAGTCGGCGGTGATACTGAAACCAGTCATGCAGAGTTACATAAATTTTTTAATGAACAAGGATACTCTGATTACGTCGTTGTATATCTTAGATTAATAACATCTGGTCAATTACAAAAAGAGGCGGATTTTTATCAAAACTTTATTGAAGGAGATCGAACAGTCGTTGAATTTTGTCATCAGGTAAAATGAGTACTTATTATATGTATATTTTGTTAATAATTATTGTAATTAAGTAAATAATAGTTATTAATTTATTTATTTATTTATAAATTACACAGGAAGTGGAACCAATGTACAAAGAATCAGATCATATTCATATCATCGCAATGAGTACAGCATTAAACACCGGAGTGCGAGTAAAATACATGGACCGTGGTGCAGGTACCGAAGTTGTAGCCCATGATTTTCCAGAAGGTTCAACGCCATCAGTTCACTTGTTATATCGACCTGGTCACTATGACATTCTATATCCCTGATAATTATATTAATAACGTTAATAATTATAATGGTGATTTATTAATTCTGCTTAATCTAATCAATTTTTCAAATAAAACCATTTTTTTCGCGATAAATTTCACTTAATTATTCTATCTACAAAATCTATTTAAAAGCACATTTTAATAATTCGATTTTTTTATCAATAAAAACAAAAAAAACTAAATACTAATATCCGAGTATCGAGTACATTTGATGTAATAATTGATTTTTAATATCCATTAGTTACTCTACATGAACATAAATTAATAACATTTATTATTAAAGCTTTAAGTGGAGGTAACTATTATTATTCATCACAATACTAGAAGATGACTAGACAGTTGGTCCCAGGGTTCATTAGCACAAGTTAAATAAAAATAAATTAACACTGATTCAACCCTGCTAGATAAATCTTGTTATTAGAGTAAAAAAAAAAAAGGAAACAACAATATATTATATTGAACCCGATTTTCACTGAGCATTAATAAATAATAAATAATTCAATTTGTAGCTGCCACTGTATCTGTATTAAGTCTCTCATCACTTTGTCCGGCACGACTCGCCATAGAGATTAAACGAGATTAACTCTTCCTGCAACGAGGTCCTCTCTAACAAGTGGGAGAACAGGGCCAGCGGCTACTCTTCTGAAAGCACAAGCACAAGTATCACCATATAGCTAAAAGGACCATTCAAAGTCCGAGTTAGTTCTCTTTACATTAAAACAACGAGATCTATACACATATTTATACATTTATAAAAATGTATATAGATATAAAGTAGCTTTATCTCAATGCTAAAGCATTTTATTTGTTTTATGAACAATTGTGAAATAAAGACTAGACTAATAACGAACGAGTGCTCGTTAAAGCTCTAGTTAGCTTAGCTTCAGCCAAAAATACTCACTGGGTGTGTATTACACCGTGTATCGTAGGGCCTAGCATCTGATGCTGGGGAAGAGGAGCTGGAAGGATCGGTGGTCGTCGAGGAGCCGTGTGCTGTGGAATTGATGATCCTATTAGATGCAATTGCGGCACCTGAGCAACCGTGTGTACCGCCGGCGCAGCCAACAAATTCAACTGACTTTGATGTAGTGCTGCCGATGTTTGATTGGAAACCATTCCTACTTGCTGATGTAGCTCTTTGTGCTGAGCAGCACGAGCTCGTGCCAATAGTGACATAACTGTTCGTTTAATTGGCGACATGGCGGGTCGATTTCCCGATGAGATTAGCGGTCGCTTACGGCATCCTATCAACAACCCATTCGCTATAAATTAATAGAATATACATGTAAGGTTTGTTCATTGTGGTTTGACAACCTGCTCCAAAGCAACTACTTGTTTACCTTGGCTCATTTGCGTTACTCCAAGCTTCGAGGAAGACTCCTGATCGATGGTAGTACCGTTTCCGTTCGTCGTACTGGAAACCGGAGAGGCTGCCGGTTCTGACAAAGTGTCTTCGGGACTTGACAGTAAGTCTTGAGGATTATTTTCTGTGTTGTTCATCATTTGCATTTCCCACATTTGTTCTTGTCTTATGTCGTCGTTGTAATCCTACACACAAGTATAAAAATTTTTCTCAAATAAGTTTTCTTTATTAATTAAGGATTTATATAAAAACTAGCGGACTCGATAGACGTTGTCCTGTACAAACGTCTTAAGGGAGATAGCCACTGTGAGATAATAAAGAAATTTGGGGATCGGGTTTTTTTTTTTTTTTTTTTTTTTTTTTTTTTTATAGAGTATACATTAAAGATCATTCTCCTAAATTTTTATTAAAAAATATCATGTTACAAAGTTATAAGGATTTTTGTGGAGCATTAAAAAAATTTTGGATTATCTAAAACAAAAAAACCAAACGGCGTTGTAATCTACATGCATGCATCGTTGCACGTAGGAGATTTTGAAAATTTGGATTTAAAAAAAATGGCGACATATTAAAAATTTTTTCGTTTCTTTTTCTCATTTTTTTTTTTGGATTCAAACAGCCCTAAAAAATCTTAAAAATCAAAATTTTCAAAATTCCCTACGTGCAACTATATCTACTGAATAGACGAATATGGGAAAAAAAAGTTGCAAATTGGTTCATATTTATACAAATTACAGATGAGACCAGTTCGAAAAAAGTAGTTTCGAGAAAAACGCGTTTTTGCCGGAGCGCCGCGCGTGCAACGGTCATTTGACGCGCTGTCACAAAAATGACTATAACTCGAAAAATATTCGAAATTTTCTTATGAAACTCTAGATACATATTTTTGAATATATAAACTTTACTTTAATAAAAAAAAAAAAATTTTTTTTTCGAAATTTCACAGTAGCTATCCCCCTTAAATTTAGAAATTTCGGAATGAGCTTATACAGTTAAAAATATCATTAGTTAACAAAATGCAATGGTCATTCTTTAATAATTAACATATCCACATGAATTTTTTTATATATCTTATATAAGGTAAAAGACCCAGTTATTGATACTGGCCTAGTTGTTTGACACTTGTAATTTTATTCTAATTAAAAAAATTAAATGTTCTGAAAAAATCAATTTTCTTAAAATTTATAATTCAAAAATTATATTTTTTTAATTTATTAGAGTTAATTTGTTTTTTTTTTTATTAAAATAAAATTGCAAGTGTCAATAACTGGGTCTTTTACCTTATATGATATTTATAAAATAACATCGGAATGAGCTTATATCGTTAAAAACATCATTAGTTAACGAAATGCAATAGTCATTCGTTTATAATTAACATTTTCGTAAATATAAGTCCATTCTGATTTTATACTCATCGAGACCTTTCATTTGAGTACCCACATGAATTTTTTTATATATCTTATATATATGATATTTATAAAATATATAAAAAGTGTATGTGGGTAGTCAAGACCAACAACAATTTATGAATAAAAAAATCTATTAAATAAATATTTTCCCGTGGACTGAATTGTAAATCTAAATCATTCTGGAATCCATGCAAGACACACAAAAAATTTCATTAAAATCGGTCCAGCCGTTTAGAAGGAGTTCAGTGACAAACACACGTACAGAAGAAATATATGTATATAAAGATAAAATTAATTGAATAAAAAACTTACAGGTACAAGAAATCGACGAACTTCTACAAGAGCATAGGCAATCCGAGCATGTGCTTCTGCTGGAGTAGCAAATGCGCTAATTTCAACATGAAGATCTTCGCTGAGGTGGGAGAATTTCGGGTCACCACTAGCTCGCAGCTCCTCCTCCTGGAGAGTGTACCCCAAACCAACACCGATGGATTAATCGATTACCAGTACTTAATTAAACGATTAAATATGTAAATTGTTTAAGGGAAGTACTTTGTGATACAAAGAAGATTAAAGCCAGCAACGGAAACAGCAAAGCTCCTGCGTACTTGTGTGCTTTCGAATGGGAAATTTGGAGTTGTTGATTTGAGTATAAAACGGTGTTTATTTTATACACCGTGTATACAGTAATACACTTACTTTACTTTACTTTACTTATATTTATATTTGCACACTATACAACTATATATGTACTTAAAGTATATGTGTATGTATGTTTGCCACGGATACATGCTTAATGCTTTGGCTACTTCATGACCTCTACTCCTGGAATATCTCTTGACGAGACGTACGGCTTTTAATTAAAGAAGTCATTAAAGTCGCATCGTCGAGCGAATATCAGCAGCATACTGAGCACCGGGCTGAGCAAACGTACAAGTGCGTTCAGCAGCATTTTATTATGATACTGGTGGCTAGAAAGTCGCGCGACACTTGAAGATACATATAAAATAAAAAAGATAATAAAATAAAAATTAAAATAAAATGAAAATGGAATTTAAATATTGTACATGTTACGAAAAATGGAATAACGTAAAAGTAAATTTTTTATGATTTAGCTTCAAAGGCACTTGACACGAGTCTCGGCTTTGATTGTACAATTTAAACTTAAAAAAATAATTTTTTTTACCCCGCTTAACTGTATATTTTTTGTATTCTCAATTTAATATTAGATTTATTTACCTTTTGACGATCTTTTACCGAACCGCGACCCAAAACAGCCATCTTACAGCCACACTCTTCTTGTAAACGCTTCAACGAGTTGCCCTTAGGTCCTAATAATTTCCCGACGAAATTAAACTAAAGAAGTAAAAATAAAATTTAATTATTAAAAAATTTATTCCCGTATAATATTCCATTAAAATAATTGAGTTTTAATTGAAAACGCAGTGAATTAAATTAATTGAAAGGCCGGAAAAAAAACTAAGACGACATTTAATATAAGATGTATAAAAATAAAAACTAAAAAACTGTTAAGTATCAGATAAATCTTTTTTCACCTGACCTTCGGGTGATCCCGAACAGGGACCTGTACCCTGACAGCAACTTTGATTGGCTTATCTCTGGTAATGTCGACCATTCTTCGCTCCACCCCATCGCAATTTCCTCCCGCAGTAACACCGCGAACACCTCCGCTACCACTAGACCCGCCGGCACCCCCAGCAGCATTTCTCCCGGCGCCACAACTGGAATCTGAAAAGGATCGCGTGTGATTACGATATATACAAAAGCTCCTGAGAATATAACTATGATACATCAGTTACTGTGGATCTTGCAGTACACCTTTTACTTATTGGACTTTCAGTAATACTCCTTTCAACAATGTCCTTTTGTAACACGCTTTCCATTATAGTATGCTATATATCACTGCATTTTCTTCGCCTTTCTTACTACTATATGTCTTCTCAACCGCACACATAACACATAACCCTAAGAAATTGCTTTGTAATTTTCAGGTCGCGTGTACATTTTATGTTTGATCGAACAAAATGAACAAAACTACATAATACTGATGCCGATAGATAAAAAGATTCAAGCTAAAGAAGAAAAGAAAAAATAAAATTAAAATAAATTTAGCAGATATTTAATAATTTTTTCAATTTTTTTTACAAATAAATTGTTGCAAAAATAATGAGAAAAAAAATTGATAGAAATTTAAAAGAATTAAAAATGCAATTTTTTTTTAATAATTTTTTTTCACAAATTTATTTGTTAAAAAAAATTAAAAAATTATGAAGTGGCGGCTAACTTTAATGTCATAAAAATAAAATATAAAAAGATAAATTTATAATTTATATAATGAGATTGTAAAGATAAAATTTTAAGTGCATGACTATAAAGCTCTGAAGAATTAATCAATTATTTCCATCGGCATATGCACAAACGCCTAATTATTAGTGAACTATATTAAATTTAATGATATTATAGATGACCTCATGAAAGCAACAGCGTAATGATATGATATGGTAATACATAATATATAACAATATTATAGATATTGTATAAGATGTACATAATATATTATTGTTCTCAGATGCACCAGATCGCCTATTAATTAATAGGGTAATTACCCTAATTAAAAAGGGTTATGAAGAAAAGTTTATGCAATAATTATATCAGTAAAGTGTAATAACTAACTGACAAAATATGTTGTCATTATTTGTGTATCTACAAGCTGGCAGTTATTATGACATTAAATCGAGAAGAGTGTAAGTGGAAGAAGAAACTTATTGAAGTTATGGACCGAGCAGAAACTTTGTCGAAGAAAAGATGTTATAGGACATAAGACATAAGACATTGGAAAGTTACGACACGATATAATAAAAAAAAAATTTAAGCCTCAAGGGACATGACAAAAAATGCTTCAAACTTGTTGGATCTTTCCACTCATTTTTTTGGTAACAAACTTTACAGTTTTACATTTTAACAACAAGTATTTACTAATACAAACAACAAAACTTTTATTAATGTATTTTTAAGCGCTTACCCTGGATATTGTACGACATTTGGTAGGTTTATATTTAAATCCGCGGGCATCATTAATTATTATTATTCATTACGGTATTTTAATTTCGTTGAACTTTATTAGTTTTTAACAAACCGTCACTTGGTAAGTATTAACTTTTTCAATGTAACTTTAGTTATATAATTTTAATTGTTATTAATTTAATTATTGATTTAATGTGTTCAAATTTAATGAAATTATTTATTGCAAGCACACAAATAAAAAAGGGTTAATTGTTTGTTGAAAAGGCTAGTATAAGAACATTAAGAACTCACCCCGACGGAAGTTCTGACACGACTGAAAACAGAAACTGAAAGCCCGTACCTGAGGCTGCCTGTAGCATTGGAAGCTGAGGGAAGGAGAAATTGAGTGAGAATCATGCACCAGGCCAAAAAGTAAAGCGAGAAGACAGAAGGAGAAGTTTATTAAAAATGCTTTTAGAAAAATAACGCGTCTTAATTCATTCAATATAAAGTCTCAGCAATTATTTTCACCGCAGCAAATAAATCTGTAATCGATCGGCAGAGCTTTTATGTGTTGGTTACCACGATTATTGGGAAATTCTCAATAAACCAAAACAACCATGTGTTGGTGTAACACGTGAAATATGAATGTCAAAGCTTGCGGGCTTTTTACAAACAACTATTCTTCCCGAACGCGTGTATTAGTACACGATCACATTGCATACATTACCTCGGTTAAATTACAATAGCTTTATGACTGAAATCTTAATTGTTGACAATTGTCGTCGCTTGTATTACCACATAGATTGTTTTTATATCCATAAATTGGGTACCAAATAACAAACAATTGGCGGTAATTATTTTTTAAGAAGAAAGTAAATGTTAAAAAGTTATCAAAGTTAAAATTTTTCTGCTGTAAATAATGCCGAGTACGTGATTATTGTTAATAAGTAGAAACTAAAGTAGATTTATGCTTCAAACGTGAGATTTATATCGGTTCATTCCTTATTTGTCTTAATTATCAAGTTCGTGCTTCAATACAAAATATTTCTGTATCGATTATTTAGCGATTGGGAAGTGGGTTGATAATAAATTTATATGGAAGATACTTTGAGATCCCTTATACAGCAAGAAAGGTGATTCTGTAAATAAATAATAGTACTTTTTTTTTTTTGTAGGATTTCACGTGGTAAAATATTACTAGTCTTCAGTGTTCTGTGAATTATTAAAGGTGTATATTTTAAACAACAGTTGTATAAAAATATCATAATATACAATTAAGGGTGTAGTCTAGTTAGTCAATTTCGAAAAATCGATTTTTTTTTTTTTACATTTTTCGAATGTATATGTATCTAAGAATTCCTGGAGATATCCCCACATATATATGTTAACTATATACCTATATATTTCCACATATATATGTTAACTGTTTCGGACAAAGGCTCACAGATTTAATTTTGATAAGATTTTTTATGATTTTTTATTTAAAGAAATTTAAAACGTGTTTTTCTCAAAGTAGACTATCATCATGTTAAAATATTGATTTTGACTTTTTTTTTTTAACAATATAACAGCGAAAAAAAATGTTTTTTTTATTTTTTTGGTTTTTTTACTTAAAATTAATAACAATTGTTCAAAATTAAAATTTTGTAGAGACTATTACATCAAATCTAAAACACTTTGGTTACTTTGTTTCCCATAAGCCGTTGCTGAAATATTGTATTAGAGCCGACCTGCCTGCAAATTATGGAGTCCCGTTTGAGTCCAAATTTTTTGTAAAAAACTGAAAAAAATTAAGAAAAAAAATTTTATTTCTATATATTAAAACTTTATTTATCATAGATAGATAGATTTATTTAGACATTGTAAGAACTACTTTGTACAATTTTTTCATCACATTAATTTGAGTTAAACTGCATATCTTATTAATTAAATAAAGCTTTGGTCCTATATCACTAATCGACATTTACATATTTCATGACAATATTATTATGTAATAGGTTCTAAATTTAATTTAAAATTTAACATTATTTATCATCCCTAATAACTTTTATAAACATATCTTTCATATAGTAAGTTCACGCGAAAATTCCCAAAAATCGCTTTTATATTTTTAGCCGACGAACTAGACTACTCTCTAAAGTTATTGGTTTTATAATTGAAGTGCTAAGTAATATTAAAAATTAAAAAAAAAACGTGGATAATTTTTGGGTAAATTTTAATTTGAAATTGGGTTGGAGAAAATAGATATCGCATCCAATGTATTAATTTTTAATTAAATTTTTGAAACTTGTACAATAACTTGACGTGAAACTTTTTTAACAATTTAAAGATTCAATTGATAAAAATACTTTAAAAATAGTTGTATTTAACAAAGATATCGAATGATTGCCTAAAAACTCTAGATAAAATCAATAAACTAACGAGTTTTCTTATTTTTATTAAGTGCATTAGACAGCTAAAACAACGAATGCCAATCAAAAGTTTTTACAATTATCGTTTTATAAAATATATTTATTCAAGTAGAAAATAAACGAGTACGTCTGTTGGCAGAAAAAAACAAAAAAATTAAAAATTAATCGACCGTACGGATAAAGTGCCGTGACTCTCTTTAATAGTTTTATAATCGCAGGTACTTTTTGGACCACTAGCTTATGAATACTAAACAAATATATTGTTATTGTTATGAAAAAAATAAATAGTCGCAATAATTTTAAATATCCATCTTTCATAGTTTATTTTAATAAATAAGGAGACATTTTTTTAATACCTCACTGAAAAAGTTACTAAAACACTATACGTGAAACTTATAATAAAAGATGCAGCTTGTCTTGAGTAAAGTTTAAGTCTTTAATACGTGGGTAATCGCTCAACTATAATCAATACTTTTTTTTTTCATAATAATTTTTAATCGTCAATTCATTATTTTCGATTTTAATTTACTTGAAATAAAAATAAAAATTCAATGATTTATTTATCGCTTTTAGATAAAAATCAATTTTTTAAATTATGTTCAATTCAATATGAAATAAAATTTTATTATTTACGTGGTGAATAATTTTGAAGCTTTTTTATTTCAATATCAAGTTAAAACTAAGTGACTTTATGACGGTGAGGTTGACAGATATTAGAAATTTTTTTAGAATTTCATAGCAATCAAATTATTATTAAAAAATTTTAATTAAAAAACTCCACTTGTGAAAATTAATAAAAATTATAAGTGAAAATTTTTAGAAACATTTTTTTATTGTAATTGATTTGTTGTTAAAATTTTTAAAATTGACTGCTATCACGGAAAGAACAAGATGACACTGGATATCATCCCAGGTTATACTCAATGATATCTGTGGTGAAAAAAAATTTTATAGATAGTAGTTTGAAAAATCCAGATTATACTGCCTGATATCTGGATTATACTCATTATAATCTGGATTATACTCATTGTAATCTGGATTATACTAGCTACTGTCTGAAATTTTTTTTCACTCAGTATAATCTGGGATGATATCCAGTGTCATTTTGTTCTTTCCGGGTAACTTCACAATTATGTGACTTTTCTCAATAGTGTTTCAATTTTAGATAAAATTTTGTAAAAATAAACTAAATAAATATCTTCAATTATCTATATCTATAATTTTCTAGACATGTTTAAAAATTATAAAATCTTATAGAAATCATTTAAATGACAATTCTCAGTGAATATTTTAAGCTGATAATATTTCATTAATTAAAAAAGTAATAACTTTTTATTATAATTTTTTTTTTAATTTTATAGAAGTAAATAAAACGTAATAATTGACTGAAAGTTGGAGCAAATTTTTCTGACTTCCAGGTCCTAGTAATAATTTTATTATTAATTGACTAATTTTAAAATCTAGAATTATAAAACATTTAAAAAAATCCTTAAAAATATATATATTGCCGGTGAATTGATATAAAGTTAATTGTTTCATTTTACATTTCTTAAAAATAGAAATCAATAAATTGTCAAAAAAAATCAGTCAAATTAATCCAATTTTTTTTTGTACAGGAATGGATAAAACGAGACATGAATTATGAGAAGGATAATGTTGGTCGTCAAGGATATTAATCCAATGAGGACTTTTAATAATTACTAGTATCACCAAAGAGGAAAAAAATGAGTTATATAGATATATCATAGTAGTTACATATTCTATTTACCTCAAGTGTCATTAACATTGTTTACAAGGTATGTATTGTTATTATGAATAGAATTGTTTATTGGTGAGTGAATCTGTTCAACACGGCTTGCTGTTCTACATTGTTTCAACCCCATTGTTGATTGATATGTCGACTTAATCCGTAACAATAGATTACAATTGAATATATATTTACATATTTATAAGTCCCGGTACACAGATATAGATGTATATCATATGTATGAATGATACGTAACATGAAATAGAGTACTCAATTAGCAACTCAACACTAATTAAATAAATTTTTACTCGTCAATTATTTGATATCATTAAAAATTTAATAATTAATCAAGTTTTTTTCAGATCGAATCCAGTGAGACTTATTTGTACAGGATAAACCAGTGAGGAAAAATTTAATTTAATACAGAAAAAGCTCCTGGAATTTATTAGAGACTTTGATAATTTTATAATTATCCGCTCAGCGAAAATAATCCTTTTGACAAACAAATATTTAAAGTTAATTAAATTTTATTTGGCCGCGCCGATTTAGCTCAAATAGAATATTTATTTAGTTACTTTTGACAACCTTTCATTACATATTTAAATCATCAGAAATAGACCATACATTTTTTATTGAGTAATGACTAAAATAAAACAGTTTATTATGTATACTTTTTCAAACTTGTGACAAACTTTATGATGGTGAAATTAACTAACATCTGTCAGTTTTTTGGATTTTTATATTTAAATTATTATGAAAAAATTCTAATTAAAAAAATTCTACAGCTAGAAATTAAAAAAAATGACAAGTATAAATTTTTTTTTATAATTAATTGGTATAAAAAAAAAACTGTCATAAATTTAACAATCAGCTTTGCTCTGAAACAAAAAAATTTTATTAGAGTAATTAATAACACAAAAATAAATTTATTTACTTACCAGTAAAATTTGTTGAAAATAAAATTGACAGACATCTTACCATTTTTTAAATTTGTTAAATTTTTCAATGTGGAATTTCTTCTTCTAAATTTTTTTACAATAATTTGTGTATTGAAAAATGTTAAAAATTTCGAGGTGTCTTATTAAATTTTTGTATCAAAAAATTTCGATATAAATTTATAATAATAATTACATCATTTATCGAAAAAATATACTGCATGACATTAAAGTTAGCTGTCACTTGATAATTTTTTTATTTTTTTTAATAAATAAATTTGCTCCGAAAAATTGCATTTTTTACTTTTTTAATTTTCTAAATGTCAATTTTTTGTTCTTTTTTTTCTGTCTAATTTATTTGTTAAAAAAATTTTTTAAATTATCAAATATATGCTAAATTGATCATCATATATACGGCTAATATAGAAGATATAAATTAGTAAATTTAACTAGTACTAATAATTTTGTCAGTTAAAATTTTTTCATTCCCGCATTTTTATGTTATGTTAGTAGGAGAATTTTACACTCATAAATATAGATGCCGAAGAAGGGGCTGGAAGAGAAAGGAGCAGCGAGAATGATGATGACGACGATGGGAACATGCGCAGAAGAGTAACGCCATTAGTACTACTTAACCGGATTTTTCGTCCATTTCGCCGTGCTGTCTGTGTATTGAAAAAAAAGCATTTAATTATTAACAAATAACGATTAAATAGATACTGTGTTGTGAGTGAGAGTGAGGATTGGCATTAATCGTCAATAAAATAAATAATTTACGTCAAGGAAAGTAGTAAATAATACCGTACAAGATGACTGAAAGATCAAGCAATGGAGATTACAAATATGATGTTGAAGAGGATGGTGGCGGCGATGGAGACAGCAATGGGGGTGATGACCACCAGAGAATGCCGTTGGAAAAAGACCGAAGTGAAAGAGCTGATAAAGTTGGCGAATACATGAAAGAATTATTGGCTGAAAAATTGGCCCTTGATTCACAGAAATGCCCAAATGCTCTCCGATTACTCGACCAAGGTGTTTATTTTTTAATTAATTATTTTTTTTAAATGATCGATTTTCCAATCTGTCGAGCGCTGATTAATTAGCGTTTATATTTTTAAGTATTTGTTTAAACAGCCGGTCCTGATAAGCTGTTTAATTTTTTCAAAATCAATTTATTTTCATTGCTCATTTTTTACCTTTTTTTTTTTTCCCAATGAAATGAAGTCAGCGGGCTTGATAAAGATGGCAGTGTATCTGACGCCACACAGACGCGAATTTAAACGGAGAGGCTTTTTTAAAGTATGACCTCGATGATATGACCGGCAAATTAATCTGTCATATCACGGTGATAGCTATGACAAAATTTGTTGATCTCTTTTGTAATCACTTGGATGTCCACATGCATCTAAATGAACAATTATTTGCTAGCTCCACTTGACATTTTTTTTTTCTTTTATTTTATTTTTATTTTTATTATTATTATTATTATTATTATTTGTTTTCGTCATTAATAACCGGGTCAAATACTTGACTCTATTCTATTATTTATTCCATTTTGCAATGGCGCGAAAAGAAAACAATTCTATACTCATGGATTATTTATTTATTTTTCTTATAGAGATTCAGAAGACTCAAGCTATTGGAAAGCCTATGCGAGACCTAAAATATGTAGATATATATCGTGAGAAACCAATCAGGGTATCTGTCAAAGTATTGGTACCAATTCGTGAACATCCTAAGGTAATATATATCCAGCAAACGATTTGCTCAATAAGTTTGGGCTCAGTATTAATATTAATGACAAATATTTGTTTTGAACAGTTTAATTTTGTGGGAAAGTTACTTGGACCCAAAGGTAACTCAATGAAACGCCTGCAGGAAGAGACTATGTGTAAGATGGCTGTGTTGGGAAGAGGATCGATGAAAGATAGACAGAAGGTATATTATTCATCATATAACTTTACAAATTGTTAATTATATTGCTCATGAGTTATCCGAATCGTATTGTCTTACAAGTTAACTTGACAACTATATATTGGCTTAGTTCTTTGCAAGACAATTACTTATTAATTCGCGAGACACTTGATGAAATAATTCATTTAATGGAAAAAGTAACACCAAAAAACTGAAATTATTTATTTAAAAAGTAATTTTTATTTAATGTAACTTGAAGCGAAATACCTGGCAATGTTTCACCTTATATTCACGTTATAAATAATCCAATTTAATCGATCGGTAGAAAACATCTCGGTATATGTAGCTACATCTTTCTAGCCTAAGCTTTCGGACTTTACTATTCGCAAAAAATGAACGAAAAAAGGTCCCTAAGGGTTTAATGCGGAAAAAGTAAATTTTTCTTTCCTCTGATCCCTCTGGATTATCCCGACTATCTGGACTTGTTGATAAATAATAGGGGGAGGTAGGGGCTGTTGTATGTGGTGCCAGTTTTCAATTTAATTTAAATTAATGAATCATTTTAGTTAATTAGTTGTTTAACGAGTTTGATAAACCGGTCACAGGTTAATGCAACTGTGTCTGTGACCCTGTTTTCGATATACAGTATAATAAGTAGAGGGAGTTTTTGTTATTAATGTAAATTAAAATTTAATTTTGTGTATTTGATCACCAGGAAGAGGAGTTCCGCCAGTCTCTGGACCCGAAATATGCTCATCTGTGCGATGATCTACACGTCGAGATCACAGCTGTAGCACCCCCGGCAGAAGCACACGCTCGCATCGCCTACGCTCTCGCAGAAGTTCGTAAATATTTGATACCCGACAATAATGACATTATCCGCCAAGAACAAATGCGTGAAATGGAGTTGACAATGTCGGAGAGTGGTGTAGCTCCTGATGAACATCGATCGACTGTTAAACCGTCAAGTTCCATGAGATCACCTACTAGCAGACCAGTCACCACTTCAAGTACATCCGTAAGATCCGCAAGACCTCCTTCTTCACGTCCTGGTAATTATTTTTATTAATTGATTTATTGTTTTACTGTAATCTTCTGTCAATTGTTGGTGTAAATTAATAAAATGTATATACTTACATATTTCTGATTAAAAGTAATGCCACCACCACCACCTCATTCATCAAGAACTTCAGCGTCTCGTTCATCGGCAAGTAAAGCTAAAGTATTTTCGATTTTGGATCGCGCTCGAGCTGCTATGGACCAAAGCTACGGGTTAGTTTTATAAAATTATTTTTGTAATATTATTTTACTATTAATTATTAATATTAATTATTATTATTAAAAAAATAAAAAAACAATTAATGAAAAAATGGCTATTTTTAAATAATGATTAATGTAGATCCGCGCCGCCTCCACCGTCCAGTCGTGCATCTCATCCAGACTATGATTATCACGGTTCTTCGAGTAGTAGTACCCGATATACTGATAGACATTACTCGCCGTCCGCTTCGTAAGACGCTTGGAACTTTTTTTTCCACTCGCATGATTTTTTTTTTTTTAAATAATTATTTAATCAAAATTTACTAATTAACTTAATTTTTATTTTTCAATCAAGATATATTCATATAAATATATCTATATATAATACAAAATGCAAATTATTAAAGAAATATTATGTATACTTTTGAATTTTTTATATTTTACAATATAGTGAAGACATTTATACGCCGACATCTTACACGACTTATGAGTACAGCGATGTCCCTTCAACTCACTCTTCTGATTATTATGAATCAACTGAATATCCTGGTAAGTAAAAGTAAATGATAACTTTTTTTCTTCATACATTTTCTAAAATTCATTAATAAAAATAATAAATCTAGTGCTATTAAAAATTTATCTAAAAAATAACGTGATTAAATAAAATAACATTTAAAATAAAATAATAAATTTTATTGTGATTAAAACTAAATATAAATGAATATTAATATTACTAGATAAATTTAGATGCTTCAATAACTAATCTAATACTTTAATATAATATGTGATTATTTAAAATAAAATATAGTAAATTAAAAAAAAATGGATTCCGTTAAATTCGCAGAGGACTCATCCGGCCGCGCTTGGAAAACGTACAAGACATCATCGTCATCGGGCTCGGCTTCGCGATATCGTACAACTCCGTACACTCGCCCCAAGTAACAAATAATAAGTTCTAAAGAACAAAAAAACATTGAAGAACAAGGAAAAAAAATGAAATTAAAACATCACAAATAATAATAATAATAATAATAAACAAAAAAAAAATGGGATTTATAAAAATTATAATTTTTAATATTAATCAACATTAACGTTTATACTTAATATAATTCGGGAGTTATGTGTTTAATAATAATAAATATAACCGTTAATACTAATAAATAATTAACCATTTAAACTATAACGTATTTAATCATAAATGATAAAAATAATAATAATAAACAAATAATAATTGATGATTGTTAATGAACTAAAAATTTAATTTTAGTTGAAATCGATCTGTACAAAGATAAACCACCAATCAATAATTTATACATAAACTAAATTAATTTAAATACAAATAAAAGAATTTGTAAAAATTGAAATTGATAAAAAGACATTAAATTTAATTATAAAGTTCTTTTCTACCATTTATAAATAAATAATTACAAACAATGTAATATTTTATATTATTTAAATAATTAAATATGTGACAAAATTAAAATTGTGTATCGATTAAAAACGAAAGAAAAAATGATAAAATATTTCTTAAAATATTGTGTTAATAATGGATTAAAAAATAATCATTAATAAATATCTAAAAAAAAAAAAAAAACAAATACGCGAATATAAGGTCTGAATCACAAATTAAATCCTATCCTTCAGTTAATAAAATAATAAAGATTAATTAATATAAAATTTTAATTAAATAATAAAACTTATTAAAATTTAAATTTTACATTCAATACATTATATCATCATTAATTAAGTTCTTTTTTGTTGTATTATATAATATATAGCATAAGAGTTTTACTATTAGTTATATTTAACTTTATAAATATTTTTTATCACATGCATAAATGTTATCGAGTGAAAAATAATCCTTGATATCGTTAACATAAAAATTTTTATTACCGCTTGTATTTTATCAAGCCGAAACGTAGTCACAGCTGCCTTGAAAAAAAAAAGTTATGAAAGGAAGAAGCAAAAAAATAGATGTATAGGGTGATCGGAATGATGAATCCACAAAGTAATAAATAAGGATATATGTTTATATGTAAGTAATTAAAATTTAAATAAATAAGCTTAGTAAATGTTTCTTTAACAGTTTAATTGCAATTTTTAAAAATGTAAAGCAACTAAATATGAATACTTATTCACCAGCTAAATGTTCATTTATTTGCTTGGTCACCCTATATGATTATACATTCACATATATGTACGTTTATTATATTCAGTGCGGCTTCAGTCGTTCGACACGTAAGTTGGAGAAAAGAAGCGAGTTCTTAAGTGTCGGCTGTCTATTGGTCGTACTCTTTACGAGCAATATTTTTAAATAAAATTAAAAAATAATTATACTGCTAATGATCAACTAAGTGTTATTATTATTCTATTAGGAATTTTAAAACGACGCTTGATAGGAAGCTCCGCTTTTAAAGCACTTAATTATTTTTAACTGTTGAATTTTAAAACTCAACTGAGTGATTGCTGCTATTCCGTTTTAACTCTTGTTATACTTTTAATTTTGAATCTCCCTGATTAAAAAAAAGTATTGAAAAAGTATGTAATTCAATACTTTTCACACACTGTATATCTATATATACATACAATATAGATATACAGTTGCATGGTTCAATACTTTTTTTAAATCAGAGCTTACTCAAGGTAATTTGACTGTTTATCTATAAATTAATCTGACCAAACCGGTAATCGAAAAAAATAGACCCAGAAAAATTAGATCTGGAAAAAATTTTAAAGTTATGAAAAATTCATATTATTTCACTAAAATTATTGTAAACTAAAAATTATAATAATAATAATAATTGTATCACATCCACAATTTTCCTGAAAAACAAGCATCCCTAAAATGATCGCTCCATTTTTTGTTTTAAAAAAAAAATAAAAAAAAATATTATTATTATTATTATTTTATAATAATTTCAATGAAATAATATGAATTTTTCATAACTTTAAAATTATTTTAAGTCTATTTTTTCCGGGATTTGACCAAATCACATTCCTTAGTATTCAGCCTTTATGAAACCATATACATTTATTTCTATTGTAATAATTATTTAATAAAATGGTGTACAGATGAGTGGAGAAGAGCAAAATAAAAAAAAGCTGAGAAGTGATGAGATATTCAGTAAAATAAATCAATTTGTTACTTTACAAAAAGATGAAACTGCCAACTATAATAAGATTTTTACAAAGGTATGGTATGATAATTGTTGAAAAATTAAAATTTCAAGTACTTTTAATTAAATAATAGGTGACGGATAAAATTATTGCTGTTTTGAAACAAGAGGATGAAGTATTTAGAAAATATTATCAAAGACCGATGTACACCGGGTCTTTTTACAAGCTAACAAGAGTTGGAAAACCGGAAGAATTTGATTTAAATTTAATTTTTGCTATTCCTGATCTTGATCATGCTGAAATAAAAGTAAGTTTATTTTTTTAATTTTTTTTTTTTATTTATATACATGATTAATTAATGTTATTTTTGAACAGAAAGGGAGAGCCGGCTTTGCTAAAATTAGATTTGATAAAAAAAAGCTTTCCCCTGTTTGGGTCGAAAACAAGTAAATTTTTATTTTTTGTTATATTCTTTTTTTAAAAAAAATGCTAATATTATATTTTTTTATTTATATTAGAGTATTAAATAAATGGCTTGACAGCGAATATTATTTGGACAACGACAAAATACGACGTTGGTTCGAAGGAGTCGTTGAAAAGAGTATGAGTCCTTTCAAGAACGGAAACAATAAAATCATTCTTCCTATAGACTCTGGAAGTAACTGTGAAGTAATAATTTTGAAACCACGACGTTTTAATCAAAGAAATAATAACTGGCGACAAAATAATTGCCGACATAATAACTGGCGAGATAATAACCATGTTCATATGAAGAATAAAAAATTTTTTTTTCCCATAGTAAGTTTTTGCAAAAAATTTATTGTTTGCTGAATTATTAATGTTTGGTTATTTTGTCGTCTGTAGCAATGTTATTTCTTCTTTGAAAGAGTAAAATTATGCATGAAGATAAATATTTTATTTTAATTAATTAACATGGTAGGTAAAGGTAAGAAAAAGCGGACCAGCGTTTACTTTGTGTGTGACTTATGAATCTATGGAGTTTTCTGTTGACTTGGTTCCGGTGTTAGAGTTCTCTCGAGCACCGCCTCTACCAGGAATTCAACAGTCAAAACATTCTTGGCATCTTGTTCCTAAACCGCTGAAGGACGGTGAAAATCCACATCAAAATTGGCGGTACAGTTTTTATTCTCATGAGCAAGACATGCTAAAGAAATGCGGTAAAGTTAAACCAGTAATTCGTCATATTAAAGTATGTTAATTCTTAATTATTGTTTAGAAAATTTTTAATATTTTTTCCTGTAAGAGAAGTATCTTGAAAATAATTTTCAGAAACTAAGAGACACCCAAAATTGGAGTATTCTTGTGAGCTATCATATAGAAACTCTTTTTTTCCACGCATTGAGCGATAACAAAATTGATGATAATACTCCACAGACAGTATTACTTGTTTTCGTAAGTATTTTTTTTTTTTTTTTTTTTTCTTTTTTTTTTTTTTTTTTTTTTTTTTTAGGCAATTAAATTATATTTTGATTGAGAATTACTCGGAATTTAATTATTTTCTGGGTAGATGTTGAAGGAATTGAGTAAAGCTTTTAATAGTGGGAAGTTAAATTATTTTTGGGATAAAACTTTTAATCTATTCGGTGAATTAACTCCAGAGAAAATCGTTAGTGTACAAAAACGTTTAGATAAAATAATTAAAGAGATAGAAGCTGAACCATCGACTATGACCCAGTACTTCTGTAAGTATTTCAAAATAAATTATCAGTTAATAATTAAACTTTGAATTATAAATTAAATTGTAGTGACTAAAGAGGAGCAGGATAAAATAAAAGGTGAAATGGCTAATGGTAATTTATAAAAATTTATTTTCTACGAATGAAATATTAACGAAATAAATTTATCAGTAGATTCTACTGAATGTTTATCGCATCCGTTTCCTTTGTCTAGCGATTCGAAATCAAAACTACAGAATAAAAGTGCCATTAAAAATGAAGTCAAAACTATAAAAAACAAGTTTCCGTTATTAGAAGCTTCATTTGAAAATTTAATTATACATCATAGAGACATTGATCAAACTGCTGCTTCTACTACGGATAATACAGAGATAAAAGCATTATTATCTTCTCTTATTAATGAAATGAAACAATTAAAAAGTAACGTCAGAAAAATTGAGATTAAAATAGACCAAGTTAATGAGAATATTAGAAAAATTAATTCACGATCAACATTTTTTGACATGGAAGAATTTGCTCTCTCAACTTAAGTTAATTAACAGTTTTTCCAGATGCATTTGATTGTAATAAGTATCTTTAATCATAAAATATTTTTATATTTTTTTCTTTATCATTAAATAAAATGTTATTTGACTTTAATATGAGTTTAAATTTTATTTATATTATGAATTCTTACGAGTCGCAACAACACACATGTTTTCCAAAGATATTTCTGGATAAGTGTAATAATATAATTTACTATCAAAGCCCATTGATTCCAGATATTTAATCCGACCCCAATTCAGCAGTGATTTGACCTTTCGACCTATCGATTCACGTGTTTCTCGTCTCTTTTCATCGCTGAAATATTAATAAAAAAATTTATAAACAATTACATCTATTTTCTCTACGTCTACAGTTAAGCTAAATTAATACCGTCGCCAATTAATAAGTGATATTTTTATAAATTTACCTCAGTTCTTTCTCAGTGACACTCGCTTGTCGATTTTTGTCGTAGCCGCAAGTTGCCCAGCTGGCTATGCTGCATAAAATTGGAAATTCTTCAGGAGTAAATCCACACTCTTGTAAATATTTCTTCCCTACATAAGAAATGTATTCACAGCGATGATGACAACAAAATGCAATTATCAATCCACTCACTTCGGTATCTTCTGTCGAATTTGTCAAGCACCTTAATGTCAGATCTAAATAATAAAATGTTTACTTATTAATTATTTTTACAGCAATAAAAATGTATTTTATTTTGTAAAACGTACCAGTTGCAGCACCACATAAATGCTTCGCTATTCCTACAGTGTATTTACTACTTTTCACTTCTTTTATTTTATTTAAACAAAGATCAGCAATGTCTGCTCGTATTCTCACAATATTTATCGAGCAATCTTCAGTTTTTAATTTGTTATCATTTTTATGCCGATGACTCGAACGATCTACCAAGATTACTGTCGATTCTTTAGTGTTTTTAATTAATTGACCTAGCCAGTAAGTTAATTTTCCTGTAAATAAATAAATTAAGGAATTATTACATCATGTATGAAGATATAAATATAAATCTATACTAATAAATGGAGAGCCGATTTTTTTGTCCGGTTACACTGCGAAAATTACTGAACCGATCGGAATAATACTTATACCATACGATGCAGCGTGTTTCGGAGAAGGTTTTAGTATATGATATGTTGGTGATTACCTATCCGGAGCCTATATTTTTTTGACTTAGAAATAATGAATTTTTATTGTAACTAAATTTATTCTATTCGATTATTATCATTGGTATAAAATAAATTTTTAATTCTATTGATTATGTTTATATACTAGGCAGATTTCTTCACTTATGAAACCTGCAATTTCTTTAACTGAAACTTGTAATGCTGATTACAAATTTTTTTTTTTTTTTTCAAATCAATTATTATTCATATAATGATTGCACATTAAAAGTTACAATTAATAATAGCTAGAATAATTACACGGATAAAAGATGCATGCTAATTTGATAGAATTGAGAATCTGTGTAAGTCAAAACAATACTCTAATTAAATTTCAAGTCTAGATCTAAAAATGTAATTCTATAAAGCGCCCAGCAGAGCGGGCGAGTAATAACTAGTAACAATATATGATCTTTAGTAACAATACTTTAGAACAAAATAGCGCGAATAGAAAATTTCAGAATAATATTTAAATTCTGATCCAAATAATTTTTTTTTTTTTTAAATATAAATAACAATGAAAATATAAATATAAATAAGATATAAATAACAATGATTGATAGATAATAAATAATAATTACCTTTTCCTGCTCCAAATTCAATGAAGCAAGTATTCTCTCTTAATAATCCAGCTCGATTCAAGTGCGCCAGCAGAGACGAGTTTTGAATTAGATGCTTCTTTAAATAATTTCCATATGAAGAATTATTAACTTCGGCATCCAGAATACTGTGCTGCAAAATTAATTCTTCTACTTCTGACAGCTTTTCTGTTCAAACATAACTCGTCCATAAATCATTACTAAGATTTTATAAATAAATATAAAAGATAAATATAAATACCAGCAGCAGCTTCCACTTTTTTAATAACATTTTCAATTACACTCTGGTCTAGTAACGTCAGAGGAATTCTCTCAGGAGCTTGTAGATCAACGTCTCCACTATTTATTCCGTCTACAATACAATCTGGTCTCGCATCCAACAGCCTTTTGGCATTGCAAACTTTCAAATGCTGCTTCAATTTTGACTCAAAACAAGTACTGCAAATAATCTATAAATTAAATAAATAGTTTAGGAAGAAATATTTAAAATTAGATTTAAAAACTTACTGAGAATCATCCAAAGGACAAGGAATCCTTTTTGATGTTTTTTCGGTGACATTTTTCTCCATATGTTCACCGCAATATTCATTTCCTTTTTTGACAGTCATTCTACAAAATCTTTTTTTGCGTTCAACAAAAAACTTGCAATGATCTGAATTCATTTTTTAATTCTAATCAATTTTTGCATTAATATTGAAATTTATTTGCTTATTTATTTATTTTATTTTTTTTTTTTTTTTACCAACGAGTCAATGCTGCTCTGGAAAAAAATAACCTATAAAAGTCAGCTGTGAAGCGCCACCATGTGATTTTTTGTTTATAAAACTTGTTTACATACAAAATATACATACACAAAAATTACAATTATTAAGTTAAAAATTAATGATAACAATCACAAATAAAAGTAATTGTTGACAGAAAGTATGAATTTTAATAAATTAAATGACCTAAAACGCTGCTTTATTTTATACAGAACTTATTGTAATAAACTTAACGAAGCACGTATTGCCGGTACGTATTTTTTTTATTAACTTGTAAATAAATAAATAAATAAAATTATTAAAAACAAATTTTTTTACTAGATTTTCCAAACACTTATGAAACTAAAGGTAGAGAAGAATACTGGAATGAAATATGGTTGAAGAATAATTATTTCAACCCTAAAAATGACAATTATCAGATAAAAATGTTGTTACCACCGCCAAATGTCACTGGAGTATTGCATCTAGGACATGCACTGACAGTTACTGTTGAAGATATTTTAGCGAGATGGTAATTTATTTCTTAATTAATTTTTTACACTATAAAGTACTCCAAAATCCTGGCTTATGAGCATGACATTAAAGTTGGCAGTCACTTGATTATTTTTTAATTTTTTTTAACAAATAAATTTGATCCAAAAAATTATTAAAAAAAAAATTGGATTTTCAATTTTTAAAAATTTTTACATGTCAATTTTTTTTTTTTCTAGTTTTTTTTGCCATAATGTATTTGTTAAAAAAATTTTTAAAATTATCAAATATCTGCTAAATTAATTTTCATCCTATGAGCTTGCCAAGAAATTAGACACCAGACAGATCTCCGACTGCACTATCTTCTTTAAATTATTCACAGGCTTTATTGAAGCTCCGAATTTACTAGACAGCTTGGAGTTCATCGATAATAATCTTAAATTCAAGCATAATCGACTACTGTAAACAACTAAATCTAATAAAAACTATGTCATCAATAGTCCAAGAAACAGAATATCAGCTCTTATTAATAGATATCACACAGACATAAATTTTTTCGATGGTTCCCATAAAACATTCTTAGTTAAATTAAAAACAATCTTGTAATTCATAATGCTGCAATACTTTTCCTTATGTATATTAATTAGTCTTTCTTCTATTATAATTTTTTATATAAATTTCTCTCAAAATTTTTTAATATACCAATGTGTACAATGCCGATTGGCGTATAAGTATATAAATAAATAAATAAATAAATAATTATTGGTATTAATAAACTTAGGCACAGAATGAAGGGAGATTCTGTACTCTGGGTTCCTGGACTAGATCATGCTGGAATAGCTACACAGGTAGCAGTAGAAAAAAATTTATTGGCCACCAAGCAGCTGACAAGACATGATCTGGGTAGAGAAAAATTTTTGGATTGCGTTGAAGAATGGAAACAAGATAAAGGAGATAAAATTAAAAAGCAGCTGAAGAATTTGGGAGCTACTTTGGACTGGTCGCATGAATATTTCACTATGAGTAAGGTAATTTTTATTCCAAGAAAATTTGCCATTAGAGTAATTGAAAATTTTTTAATTAAATAGGAACATAACAAAGCAGTAAATGAAGCATTTGTTACTTTGCACCAGCGTAATTTGGTGTATCGACATAAGGATTTAGTAAACTGGTCTCCTACGCTGAGAAGCACGATTTCTGACATTGAAGTTGAGTCAATAGAAGTGGATAAGAAGACTGATTTAAAAGTTCCTGGTTACAGCAAAAATGTGACATTTGGAGAGATAGCGGACGTTGCTTTTAAAATAAAAGACTGTGAAGATGAGATTACTGTCTCGACGACGAGAGTTGAGTCAATGTTTGGAGACGTTGCTATTGCCGTACATCCAGAAGACCCTCGGTATTCTGGATATATCGGTCGACAAGTCTGGCATCCGCTTCGCGAGACTTTTATTCCTATTATAGCGGATTCTAGTGTTAGGCAAGACTTTGGTACAGGTGCTGTAAAAATAACTCCGGGCCACCATCACCAGGATCTTGAAATCGCACGTAGGAACGCTCTGGAAATAATAGAAGTAATAAACGAAGATGGTACTATGAATGAGCGAGCGAAAAATTATTTAGGAGTCCACAGGTTCGACGTTAGAAGGAAACTCCTCGATGAGTTAACTGACAGAGGGATAATCAGATGTATCAAGGATCATGCGATGGTAATTCCTGTTTGCTCTAGGTCTGGAGACGTAATTGAGTATATGATGAGAGAGCAGTGGTTCGTCAGCATGCGAAAAATGGCTGAGAAAGCTATGGAGGCCGTAACTAGTCACAAATTGAAACTAGACCCTTCTAGATTCGAAGAAATGTGGCTGGACTATTTGGGTAAGACCAAGGACTGGTGTGTGTCGAGACAGTTGTGGTGGGGCCATCGGATTCCCGCTTACAAATGTCTGGGAAGTCAAAATGAAAATTGGGTTGTAGCTTCGAGTCTTGAGGAAGCTCGAGATTTGGCTAAAAAACAATTTGGAGCAACTGAAGTTCAGCAAGATGATGATGTGCTGGATACTTGGTTCTCTGCGGGATTGTTACCATTGTCTGCGATGGGCTGGCCAGATGACAAGTACATCAAGAATTATCCTCTGAGTCTTATGGAAACTGGACATGATATCATGATGTTCTGGGTGGCGAGGATGGTGATGCTGTGCTCGGAGTTGGTGGGAAAGCTTCCTTACAATAAAGTACTGCTTCATGGGATCTTGTGTGACGCTCAGGGTAAAAAAATGTCTAAAAGTCGCGGAAATGTTATCTTACCAGAGTACGTTGTCGATGGAATAAGTTTAGAAGGTCTTAATGCGAAAGCTGAAGAAAGTTTTGCAGCAGGAATTCTCAGCAAGGCTGAACTTAAACGCACATTGACTGTTAATAGTAAAATGTTTGGTGAGGGAATAGATGAGTGTGGAATCGACGCGCTGAGACTCACTCTCAGTAGTCATAATATTAAAAACGAGAAGATTAGCTTTAATGTCGTTGAGTGTAAGACAAACAAATATTTCTGTAATAAAATGTGGCAAGCTTGTAAATATGTTTTGCTTGTTACTGATGATAGTGTTATAGAAAAGCCTGGTAATCTGACGACGGTGGATAAGTGGGTGTTGAGTCGCTTAGCTTTCATGGTAGACACTGTAAATAAATCGTTTGAAGAGCGGAATTTTCATAAAGCCATTAAGGCTTTCAGACAATTTTTTTACTATGAATTCTGTAATTTTTTTATTGAAGCAACCAAACCTGGGCTGCAGGCTTCTAATGAAGACATTTTTCGGAGTCATAGATACAGCTTGATACGGTGCTTAGAAGTTTCTCTGAGAACAATTTCACCGGTGATGCCGTACTTGTGCGAAGAATTGTACTCGAGACTCGCTAAGAAGCTTCCAGCATTCACTCAGACCCCTTCGATAATGAAATTAAAGTATCCGATTTTTGAAGAAGATGATAGAGATTGTAAATTAGAAGAAAAGTTTAGTCAAGTTTTAAAAATAATTCTGGCTGTTAGAAATATTTATACTTATGTTAACAAGTCATCTATTTTAGAAGGTAAGCTTTAGTATATTTGAATTAATTTTGTAATATTAATGAAGAATTTATTTCTTAGTTCATATTATGACGGATGGAGATAATTTTGAATTATTTGAGGATAATATCAATGTTATAATTGCTACGACCCGAATCAGCGAAACTAAAATTCTACCAGCAAATACTTATGTCGTCAAAGAAAATAGTATTTGTAGTAATGAATCTGGTTATAAACTGTATTATTTATTGAAGGTAATTAATGAGTTTTAGTTAATAAAAATTAGAGTTTCACGGTGGATTAAATTTTCAGGATAAACAAATTGCTGGACAAATGACAGATAAAGTAGAAAATAAAAAAATAAAATTGGAACAAAATATAGAAAAGCTTTCAAAAAGTTTATCTCAAGAAAAATATAAAAGTGAAGAAAACAGGACAAAAATAGAAAATCAGGTAAATTAATTAAATATAAAAAAAAAAAAACCATACAAATAATAAAATTAATATTTATTTCTAGATGAAACATCTTCAATATGAGCTCGAAAAAATTCCGAGATTTGTATAAAAAAAAATTATTTATTACTTAAATAAAAATATTTTACTCAACTTCCATACTTTCATCACTACTATCGTCACTATCACTTTCAGACTCTGAGCTCTCTGAGTCTAGCCAAACTTGGGATGAGACATCATTCGCAATAATAGTCTGCCATTCATTTAATTTATGAAAATCTAAACTGTAGAAATCATTCAGAGTGTACTGTCTGTCTCCGTCTTCATACAATCCACCGTACAAATAGAGCACGTTGTTTTTGACAACAAGCCCAGGATTTATTCTCGGAGCAGGAGTAAATGTTTGAGATTTGGGTCCTTCTGATCCTTTGGAACATGTTGAAGCGACAGGAGCGGGCCCAAGAGTCATTGTGAATACTCCGTCATTGATAACTACTTTAGCTGGTTCTGGTTCGGTTTCTTCTTCATCTTCGTCGTCATCAGCATCAACATCTTGGACATCCATATCATCCTTTTTGCGTCTTCGCTTAGCTTTATCCTTCTCTGGCGCCACTAAGACGTTTTTCCACTGGCGTTTCTCGATGTCCAAAGCCAGCAGATCATTGAAAAATGTCCCGTGAAGTTCTTCATCGTCTTCGTCATCCTCATCGTCGTAAACTCCTCCAAACAAATAAGCGACATTCGGAGAGACCATAACAGCTGACGAGCTGCATCGAGGAGAAAATTTAATTCCTAACTGTTTAACATGAGCGGATTTCCACTTCTGATCTTTGCTTTCTTCTTTCGGAGGACTCAGGACATACATATCTGTGTGAACTTGACCCTTGTCCACGTCCTTTTTAACTCTTTCTTTACTGTAACCTCCGTAAATTAAAATTTTATTATCAGGAGTAGGCAAAACAATGCACCCAGACCTTGGAGGAGGAACAATTCCCGTAATTTCAACTTTCTGCCAGGTGTAAGCTGTCAAATCAAATATATAAAAATCATTGTAATACTTAAAGTCACGGGTGTTGTCGTGAAAACCGCCAAAGACAAACAGCTGTTTCTTCGCATAAACCATTCGGTGTCCACTTCTCGAAGAAGGTCCATTCGGCACTGCAACTTTTTTCCATTTCTTCTCACCGAAGTTAAAAACCCATAGATCGATCATCATCAACACTTTTTTTTCCAACATCAAAAACAATATTTAAATTAGTAATTAAGTTGATATTAATGATACTATTTATTTAATTTTTTTTTTAATTTAAAATTAACATTTTTGAATAAAATATTGATAGCGAATTAGCATTAAAAAATAATTCAGAGATGAATATTTGTATAAATTTATTTTATAAAACAATTTAATTTATATTCCGGTTAAATAAATTTTTTGTTATTTATATTTAGATTAAATTAAATTCGTATTTAACAAAAAACAATATTAATAAAAGAAAATTTTTAAAGTGTTTGGAATTTGTGTCGAAAACTTTTGTTTTGAATTTATGGAATTTTTTTTTTATTTACTAACTTTTTTTATACTCTTGATTTTTTCTTTAATGTTTCGGTGGAAAAATACATTATTTCTGGTTTTATAAATGTATTTTAATTATCATAAAAGGATAAAGATATAAAAAGAAATGTAAAAAATTTTTTAGTATACAAAAAAATTTAATTTAATAGACTTTTTTTTCTACTTATTAAAATTTTCATAATGGATCTCCCGATTGAAATCATTTAAAAAACAGGAGCGAATAAATTATCATATATAATTATATTGAAAATTATTTACTTGCATAAAAAAAATTCATTGTTTTTTGTATTATGAAGTTGTATTTAATTGTTTAATCAATTTTTTTATAAGTTGTAATTTTTTAGTGAGCTTCAGTCTATAATCATGAGCCATAAAAAAGAGCAAAAAAAAAATGAATAATAATTTACTAGGATTTCAATTATTAAAAATTATAATTTTAGTCAAAATATTTGAACTTAAAAGAAAAGTTTATGGGGAAGAAAAAAAACTTTCAAAATTTTATTATTAAGAATTACGGCGAAAAAAAAATTATTAAACAACGAAATTTCGAAAAAAACTTAAACAGCTACTGAAGCCAGATATTCCGGAAATAAAAATGAAAATTGCACGAATAGATAAATGAATAATCAATTCACAGAACAGAAATAATAACCAAGAAAAAAAGCGATAATAGTAGGGGTAAAATGATTTCAAATAAAAATAAAAGATAATTAAGGATGATCAATACATTAGTTCTATAATAAAGTGAAACACAATAATGGACTTTGATTTCAAGTACACGCAACAACCTCTCAGCGGCCTTCGATCTCAATTGATGCGTTGGATTTATCATTTTAGACCTAAAAAAACTCGCTCGGTTACTATTTATCTAATCTAATCGTGCATCAACATTCTAAAATAATTTATTCGGAATCAACCATCTCAGCTAAGCGCCCACATCACCGAAAAAGTAACCCGCAAATATTCCGTATCTGTACAATAAGTTATAATTATTGTTTACAATTAATTATTGCAGATCGTTGACCGCCGGATCATTCCCAACTAACAAAGAATTGACAACAATAAACAATAGAGCCATGGAAGTTTTGATGAACGAAGCCGCAAATGCACCCCAAACTTCCCCCGATAGAACTGATTCACAATCAAGATTCGATAATTCCAACCCGGATAATTGCTTCGGCAATGAGGAGTCTTCTTTACGGAAGATGACTAAAGAACACCAGTCAGCTGACATTTCTTTTGAAAACCTTCGCTACAAGGTTTCGATTGGATTCCGTCGGGGTAATTTCTTATTCTTTTCCTATGATTTACTAATTAAGAAGTCAGAAGAAATTTTAATTAGAGAAGAATTTTAGTAAAAATATCTTTAAAAAAAGAATTGTTTCATTAAAAATATTCATGAAACTTTCAAAGATATTTTAAATCCCACAAAAAACAGTTTCACTGTAAACCGTCGCGCCAAGTACACGTCCAACTATTGTTACAAACCTTGATAATTCAATTTTTACAAAAAATTATTAAAACGAAAAAAAAAATCCAAGTACAAAAAATTTTGTAGATTAAAAAAACGCTAAAGACAGTAAATATAAAGGAAAAAAATTGAATGTACTTGGTGTGCATTATAATTGAATGATGGTGTGCATTATAATCGAATGATGCACACTAAGGACATTTAATTTTTTTCCTTAACAATATTTACTGTCTTTAGCGTTTCTTTAATCTACAAAATTTTTTGTACTTGGATTTTTTTTTCGATTTAATAATTTTTTGTAAAAATTGAATTATCAAGGTTTGTAACAATAGTTAGACGTGTACTTGGCGCGACGGTTTACAATGAAACTGTTTTTTGTGGGATATCTCATTTTTTTGTAAAGAATATATTAAGGGATATATAATCAAATATTTTATCAGCATTTTTAAATTCCAAATATGTACTTTTTAAGTTATGCAGCTAATTCATTATTCATAAATTTTTGTAATAATTTAATTACAAACGAAGTTATTACAATATTTTTACTTTAAATGATGCGCGTGACTGACCAATGTGCCTCTAAAATACAGTGGTAATGGTTTTGTGGCTCCACCTACTGTCGCATATTGAAATTCTAAACTAAAGACCAACTACTTATGGGCGCTAAGTTCAGTATTTAGAGTATATACTAGCTATTTAGATGGTAGAATAACAAAGTTAAGTAGTGCCAACTTCGAAATAATAAAATTCACCCTAAATTTGTAAAATCTCTCGTAGTAGAATCGAAAACAGGCGCAAGTAAAAATTTTCAAACTCGCGATTAGTTAAATAATTGTTAAGACCCAACATTTTTTTGTAATATATGTATAATTGGTAAAAAGAAACTTATTAACAATGGTGTAAAGTGTTAGTGTCTTAGTAATAATAAAAAATATAGAGCTAAATATGTAAAGAGGTTATGTTGACATATGATTAGAGAATAAAGACACGTTGTCTCACGCCATATGTTGGACGTGTACTTGGCGCGAAATACTATCGTGTCTTCGGATACTTGATAATCTCAAAAATTTTTAACACTAAATTTTTTGTCGCAATGACGCAAAAAATTTTTTACTGTGTATCAATTGCTTTATCCCTACAATTTAATTGAAGATAAAAATATCTTCAAAGAACAGAAAAAAAAATCGGTTTGTTTAATAAATAACAATTTTAAATTAACGATCCGGTTTTTATAGGAACGAAAGAAATTCTTCATGGAATAAACGGAAGATTGCCGGCAAAACAACTTATCGCTATCATGGGTCCATCCGGAGCTGGAAAATCTACATTGCTTGACATCCTTTCCGGTTATAGATTAACTGGGATTCAAGGAACTATTAAAGTTAATGGCGACATACGTGATCTCGATACATTCAGAAGGTATTGATATTTTTTGTTCTTCCTTTTCTATCTCTTCTCCGACGGATTAGTGTAGATTTATTTCGAGTTTTACTTACAGCTGACTTTATCGTAACATTTATTGCTTTAGAACTAGTGCCTATATTACTCAAGATGATCGCCTCCAACCTTTACTAACTGTGTTGGAAAACATGTGGGTGGCTGCCGATTTGAAATTAGGAACTAATATTACCAAGGAGACTAAACTGTCAATTGTAATTATTTATTTGTTAGTTTTATTAGATGGGAAAATTGTTATTAATTGTTTTTTTTTTTTTTTTTTTTTTTTTTTTAGATTGAAGAAATATTACTTACTCTGGGATTAAGCGATCATCTTAATACTAGATCGGATAGGTTGAGCGGTGGCCAGAAGAAAAGACTGTCGATAGCATTGGAATTAGTCAATGACCCTACTGTGATGTTTTTAGATGAACCTACTACGTAAGTTTATAAGATTTTAGTTTGTACTATTTTTAGATTAAAAACTTTTATGATTAAGACTTTTACTTTTAAGAATTTAGACTTGGAAAATTCAACTTTTTTTTTTTTTATATAAAACAGATAATTTATAATTTTATTTCGAAAATTTAATTTTTGCATAAAAATTCGATGGTTGAATTTATTTTGTTAATTAATTAGTAGACTTAATCATAGCTAATTTGTTTTTTCTTGTGAATTGTTACGGAAGAAATTTTTAATTATAATATAAAAAAAATATATTTAAACAGATGACATCAATAATTTTTATTATTCTGTTAAATTTATTTTATAATGGACATTCTTTTACTTCAAAGAAAAGTCTTTTATTTAAATTTGAAAGAAGATTAATTTTTTTTATGACAAATAACAGAACATTTACATCCCTAACGGTTACTGTGTCCTCATTTCTTTCATGAAACCAATTATTAATAAACTCATTGAGAATCAATTAAATTTAAAAAAAGAAATAAAAACCACGAAACAAAAAATATTTTGTTGTGAAATAATAATTATTTGTAGAAGAGGAAAATTTTTGCAAGCAAATGCAAATTTTATAAAAATTTCTAATGTCTCGGCTAAAAGTATAAAGTTCAATTAAAAGATATCGTTGAATTTTTTGTGAACTTACACTTAAAAAAAAATACTGATTATTATTTCACAGTAATCATTATCAAGCTGATAAGTTTGTAATTGTTTGATGACTCCAAGTTTAAATATCTTAAATTTTATTTTACGGATTTAGAAATGCTCTAGCTGTAATTTTGCGTTTATATAATTGTGATATTAAAATATTAACATTTATACAAACTTTCTTTGTTAATTTATTTGAAAGTGTATTTTGATAGATTTGAGAATCAACTTTTTAATGTTAATTTTATTCCTAAAATTTTTATTTAATCCAGGAAGTAAGAAAATATCTTTCTAAATTTACAACTTTTTTCGATATCGAGCTATTTTGAATTTCTTTTTTTAATTTCTAGGAAGATATATTAAACTAATAAGTTACCATAGATTTCTTCCATCAATTTATATTTCAGCAACTATTAATCATCCAGACATCGCTTGCGCTAATTTTTTTTTTTATTTCATACGAAATACAATGATATTTATTTAATTAGAAAACTTCCCAATAATTTTCGAAAGATTTAATTTAATATCTAACTTTTGTAGAAAAAAAAATTTACAGGCGCAGAATTTATGGTGACTTTTTTTAGACTTGATAGAAATCTAACTATTGCATTTGTCCTGATGACGGAACTTTTTAAAAAATTTTTCTATTTCCCAATTCAGCTCGTCAAGCTGATTGAGAAAATGCGTATGCTTGAAAAATTTATGTGTATGTATTTATACGGCAGAAAGTGGCTTGTCACAACTCGTAACGGATCTCAAGTAAACTCAACACATTTATTCTATAGATGAACACCAAGGTCAAGTTCAAAGATGAGCTTAATCGGTCGAGTAGTTTATAAATAAACGGATTTCAAAATTTTTAAAATTGCAATTCATATTTTTCCAGTTTCTTTCCCGAGTAAATTTTGAATGCGAAAATTTCTCTAATTTCCATAAATTGCATTCACGGAAAATAAATTATAGTAAAAATTACAATAATTGAGTTCAATTTACTACACGTTGGAAATCTCCATTGAAGTTCCCCTATTTTATTTCCCGCTGAAGATAATTGTACTTCAATTGTTGTTGTCCTCACTCCAATTTATTTTTGGTGATGTAAATTAAAAGTTCCTTTAATAAGCTACAATTTTCATATATTGAAGTATATGTAGATAAAAAATTACCTCTCATTTCACTGTCAGTTTATGAAATTTGCTATTAAATTTTGAAAATTTTCTAAATTCTTTAAACTTATTAAATACTAAAGATTAAATTTTATTGTTTTATAAACAATTTATTCATTTACATAATTTATTGGACATTTTATCAGTGTGTTGATACATCATAAATTCAATTTGTTGATAAAATCAGTTAGTCAATAAATCTATCAGTAAACAGAGTTAACATGTTGAAAAAAATTTTTCAAAAGCGTTCAATATCAACAAAAGTTGTAAATTTACAGAGATATTATTTCCTCATCTCTTGAATCAATATAAATGTTTGTAAAAAAAAATTTCAAATTTATGCAAAAATTAAAAAAAAAAATTTCTATACAAATTTTTATTTTCTTCAATATAATACATTTTTTTATAAAAGCAATTTAATTCCACAAAACAATCATACTTAAATTAAAACTTCATTATGATTACATTGCATTCAACAACTTCCGTTTTTAACATTTGATATTTAAATATACATAATTAGTTGTACTTTTTCATTCGTTAATGCTCCACCATATGGTAGAGTTTCATACTCTTTTTCATCAATTTCTTCATTATAATTATTGTCTATTCAAATAATTAATTCTATAAAAAATTGTGAGTTTTATTTTTTCGCAGTACTGTCACATTAAATAAAACATTTGTAGCAAATAAAATTTTAAAAAATATCTTCAATTGATTATAAGCAAATAAATGATTATTTACAGAGGATTAGATAGTTCAACATGTATGCAAGTAGTTAATTTATTGAAATTACTAGCCAGGCAAAATCGAACGATCGTTTGCACGATTCATCAACCGAGCGCTTCGCTGTTCCAGCTTTTTGACCACGTAAGTGCTAAAATTAATATCTACATTGGATAAAGTGGAATTTAATTGAATTAAGGGTTTGGTTACAGTGTGTTATAGAGCGTTAATTGAATTTGTGTAGGTACTAATACTAGCCAAAGGTACATGCTTGTACCAAGGAGCAACAGGTCAATTAATTCCATTTCTGGAGAGCGTTAAGCTTCCATGTCCAATGTATCATAATCCGGCGGATTACGTTATTGAATTGGCTTGCGGTGAATACGGTGATGATAAAATTGAAACTCTGGTGAATGCAAACCAAAACGGGAAGAATGCTCAGTGGTTTAGCAACACCATCCCCGCGATTGAAGAGCTAAAAAAGGGTAAACCCCAATTTTTATTAAAAGCTGTTGAATTTCATTTTTCATTACACTTTATTGAACATTGTTTTAAGATAAAGCTAATGGAATCAAGCGTGGATATATTTTTAAGAAGAAATTATCTTTGCAAGCTACTTCGCAGCTTCATCAGCTGAAAGTTCTTCTCTATCGCGGATGTATCAAGTGTAAGCGTGACTCGGTTAGTTAGCCTATTTATATCTTTTACATACTGTATAATTTTCATTATTATTTAATTAATTAATTTATTAATTTTATGTGAACTTTGTAGACTTTGACGCATTTGCGTATCATCGTAAATATCTTCACCGGAATAATGCTTGGTACGCTATTTATACAAGCCGGTAACGAAGGGTCTAGAGTATTGGAAAACTATAATCTTCTTTTCGCTATTTTGATGCATCATATGATGACTTCCATGATGTTGACTATTCTTACTTGTAAGTATTTTTTCTATCAATAGTATAAGAGCTATATTGCTATTCCTTCCGTTTTTATTGACAAAATATTAAAGCTAGCATAATTTCAATGATAATCTGAAGCACGATAGGGTTTTGCACCAAGCACAGGTTTAAGGTACCCGTGTAAAAAAAAATCGTCTTAAAATTGTCGTTCGTTTAAGATCTTAAACGTGACACAAACTAAGACTTAAGATGCCAAAAAATAAAAATTCCGAGATTTTTTAATAATTATTTTGATCTTTTTAAGACTATTTTGAGATTTTTTCAAGACGATTTTAAGATTGAAGTTTTAAGATAATTTTTAAATAGTCTTGAAAAATCTTAAAATAGTCACTCAGATGACATCACAGTGACAGCTCCGGAAAATTATTATGGAGCGTCTATTAAATTGTCTTAAAAAAATCTTAAAAAAAAATTTAGACTATTTTAAGATGGACTAACAGCGACAGAGCCCCGGAACATTAAAACGGAACGTCTTAAAAAAAACTTAAAATTGTCAGATAATAATTTTTTAACAATTTTAAATTCAATTTAAAAACATCTTACTCAAAAATATTGCGGTTAGAAAGTCGTAAAATCGTCTAAAAATTAATTTTCACAACAAATTCGAGAACAAAATTTTCAAAAATCTGTTCTCGGAATTTTCCTTTTGGCGTCTTAAAAGAGTCTTAAAATAGTCTCAGTTTGTGTCACGTTTAAGATCTTAAACCAACGACAATTTTAAGACAATTTTAAGACGATTTTTTTTACACGGGAAGCTTTGGCAAAAATTTTTATCCCAAAAATTCAATTTTTTATAATCAAAAATATGTTTTTTTAAAAACGTCTATATCTCAGAAATTAATTACACTAAAAATTCTGCTTTACCATAAAAACCAAGAAAATGTCTAAAAATTAATTTTCACAACAAATTCGAGAACAAAATTTTCAAAAATCTGTTCTTGGAATTTTTCTTTTGGCGTCTTAAAAGAGTCTTAAAATAGTCTTAGTTTGTGTCACGTTTAAGATCTTAAACGAACGACAATTTTAAGACGATTTTTTTTTTACACGGGAACTATAGTTCCTCCGTGATATTTGTGATCAGAGAGTATTTATTATTGTCAAAAAGTTGATACTATTGTTAAATCATTATTTACCACAGAAATATTATAGTAAAATAGCAAAAAAAAAAATATTTGAATTTTTAATAATAATAATAATTTATTTAGCAATTTGCTATTTCTTTGTATCACAAAATAAATACATAAAGTTTTTGATAGATACAAATATAAAAATATCACATTTTTAAAATATAGTTTTTACATATTCTTTCAATTCTCTTTTAAAATAAGGAAGTCTATTTTCTGCTTTAATATTTTTAGGGATCTTATTATATAAGTCGCAACATTTGTAGGTAGATTAAACATTTCTCTGCGGAGCGTGTTTTCTTATGTTTAATGTTTAATAATGATCGATTTCTTGTGTTATACTGATGATTTCTTAAGGCTTTTGTCATACATATATTCCGGCACTTTGTTTAAGATAATTTTATGCACAAATATACAAAAATTATACGCCATCCGCTGTCTAATATTTATCCAGCCTAACGTTGATAACATGTTATTTATAATAGTATATTTGTTAACACCTAATACAAGTCTCATTGCTCTATTTTGAACTTTTTGCAGCTGATTAAGCTTATTTTCACTGAAATTGAGCATTAATGAGCTGCAGTAGTCAAAATATGGAGCAACAACTGATTTATAAATAATATTTTTTGTAAAACATGACACCGTATTTCCTATTTATATCTCGACAACAAAACGATCTAGTACTACTATTTTTTTTTTATTAGTCAATCAAAAAAATATTCTTTTTTATTCTGTTAGTTTTTTTTCCAATTTTTTCGAGAAATTTTTTTAATATAACAGATAATACTTGGTTAGTCAAAGACTTCGGCATGCTTTAAATGAAAAGTAAGCTTAAAAATCTCGAATTTTGTTATTAAATATCTTGCTTTCTAAACGGTAAAAATTCTGAAACTTCGAGATTTATTAGTAAACGTTATTCTAAAACCTTAAAAAAAATTAATAAAATTTATTGAAAAGTCGTTGGACGGAGGGAGTACTTTAAAAACATATTTACATTATTTTCTAACTTGAATTTTATTGATAATTAAAAAAAAAAATAATAAATTATGAAAATCTAGATTAAAAAAATTAAGTTTATAAACTGTTTTCATTTTTTATTGTCTTTTCAATAGAAATGAATAAATTAAAGCTACATGAATCGTTTATAAAAATATTAAAGATTTTACCGTTATTACAGTTCCCGCGGAGCTCAACATCTTGAAGAAAGAACATTTCAACCGATGGTACACTTTAAAAATGTTCTATTTGTCAATAACAATAATAGACATTCCAGTGACATTTATATGCTGCTTATTATTCTCTGTGATTATTTATTTAATGTCTGGGCAGTTATTGGAATTCCAAAGGTTTAGCATGTTCTTTACGATAAGTCTAATGGTTGTTTTTGTTGCTCAAAGCTTCGGTCTAATGATTGGAGCTGTTTTTAATGTTGTTGTAAGTCTAATCTTCATTATTATCAACTAAACATAAATTCAATGTATATATTCAATAATTAAATAAACTTTTTACAGAATGGAACATTTGCTGGGCCAACATTGTCGGTACCGATGATGATGTTCGCCGGGTTTGGAGTGACTTTGCGCGACCTACCATATTATTTAAAATGGGGTACTTACGTAAGTTATTTACGATACGGTCTCGAAGGCTACATTGCTGCAATATACGGCCAAAATCGGAAAGATCTTGAATGCGTTGAAATTTACTGCCACTACAAAAAACCTAAAACCTTTTTAAAGGACATCGCAATGCGAGATGATCAATTTTGGAACGACGTTATTGCTCTCTTAGGAATGCTCATTATCACTCGAACTTTCGCTTACTACCTTCTCAGATGGAAATTAATATCTTCTCGATAGTTAATTACATTTAATATTTATTTTAAGTTAATAGTTAATTGTTAATCAAAAAAGAAATGGATTACCTCAATTTAAATCACCAGTTTTCTAAAAAAAAAAACTCGTGAGAAAGATACTCATAAATAACTATATAAAAAATAATGATTTATTTTTGTTTCTTAAGTATTATTAAAGGTTTTTTGCTTAAAAAAATATAAACGGAATAAATATGTATAAATTGTTAATAGTTTAAATTGTATAATAAAATTAATATCAATGACCATCATGTTATTTGAGAACGTTAGCGATCCGCCATCTTAAAATCATGTAAATAAACGCGTGAAGAAAAACAATCCAGCCGCATAGTATGCAAATTATTATCGGAAAAGTTGTCGAAGGCATGTCCATGTACGACAAAATAAATTTTGGCTTGCGGAGGATGCAAAAATCAGCGTTACAATTCACTACAGCCCGATCATTGCCGTAAACAGCTTGCATTATTCCCTCGAAAGCGTAGCGGTAAAAACTTATTGCCGATATGGGATAAAAGTATGAAGACATCTCGGAGAATTTGATGAAAAAACCCGCGAATAATAAAAAAGGAATGTTCAGAGCTGGCACGATAAAACAACCAATCTGGGGTTCGAATATTGCACCTGCGAGAACTCCAAATGATTGGGCTAACATCGATATCAGGAAGCATATTATCCATACCTTCATGAACCTGTCCCATTCCAAGGGCTGTCCAGTCAACCAGTAAGCTGTTATTAAGAAACATGTCGGGCAAAGTATCTGTGAAGAAAAAAATTATTTATTTATTTTTAATACACTGAAAAAAAAGTTTTTTTCCACCTAGGAAATTTTTCCCTCCAGTAAAGAAACTGGTATACCTGTGTGAAGAATACCAAAGTTTTTTTCCTACTCTAATAAGTATGGTGATTTTTAAAAAACTCGGTTTCCTTCTCAGCAAAATACCAAAATAAAAATATGGCCGACTTAACCTCATTTGACATAGATGCATATGATATGTTTATGATACGGTGGATCTTTTTTATTTTAATCAATAAATTAATAATTATTAATTTATCAATTATAATTAAATTTAAGAAAATTAAATTAGTTAAGTTATAATAATTGAATTTATAAGAATGAGACTGAAGTTGACAGACATTAAAAATTTTTTTAGAATTTTATGGCAATTAAATTATTATAAAAAAAAATTTAACTAAAAAATTCCACATGTGAAAATTAATAAAAATAAATAATAAATTAATATATACAACTTTCCAATGATATAAACAAACACACCAGGACTGTGAAATTGGAGGGAAATCAGAGAATTGGCGGCGCCACCGCTGCGGTTGCTATGGTAACGCAGTATAAAGTTTTAGCTCCAGAAAAAAATCCGGTATTCTCAGGAGAAAAATACCAGTTTTTTTATATTAAGAAAACGTATATTGGATATAAAAAAACTTGCATAAAAATACTTTGTATTCTGGGTGGAAAAAAAAACTTTTTTTTCAGTGTACATACAGACATACAGACACCATCGCGGAAATAGTCAAGGAAGCTCCCTAGGACCTCAAAACGTCGAGATCCGATGAAATCTCGATTTTCGAAAAACGGGGTGACAACAATAACTTCCCGATTTTTGAAAATCTTATATTACAAAAAAATGTTGGGTCTTAACAATTATTTAACTAATCGCGAGTTTGAAAATTTTTACTTGCGCCTGTTTTCGATTCTACTACGAGAGATTTTACAAATTTAGGGTGAATTTTATTATTTCGAAGTTGGCACTACTTAACTTTGTTATTCTACCATCTAAATAGCTAGTATATACTCTAAATACTGAACTTAGCGCCCATAAGTAGTTGGTCTTTAGTTTAGAATTTTAATATACGACAGTAGGTGGAGCCACAAAATCATTACCACTGTATTTTAGAAGCACATTTGTCAGTCACGCGCATCATTTAAAGTAAAAATATTGTAATAACTTCGTTTGTAATTAATTATTACAAAAATTCATGAATAATGAATTAGCTGCATAACTTAAAAAGTACATATTTGGAATTTAAAAATGCTGATAAAATATTTGATTATATATCCCTTAATATATTCTTTACAAAAAAATGAGATATCCCACAAAAAACAGTTTCATTGTAAACCGTCGCGCCAAGTACACGTCTAACTATTGTTACAAACCTTGATAATTCAATTTTTACAAAAGATTATTAAATCGAAAAAAAAATCCAAGTACAAAAAATTTTGTAGATTAAAGAAACGCTAAAGACAGTAAATATTGTTAAGGAAAAAAATTAAATGTCCTTAGTGTGCATCATTCGATTATAATGCACACCATCATTCAATTATAATGCACACCAAGTACATTCAATTTTTTTCCTTTATATTTACTGTCTTTAGCGTTTTTTTAATCTACAAAATTTTTTGTACTTGGATTTTTTTTTTCGATTTAATAATTTTTTGTAAAAATTGAATTATCAAGGTTTGTAACAATAGTTGGACGTGTACTTGGCGCGACGGTTTACAATGAAACTGTTTTTTGTGGGATTAGGTATTCTCAGGAGAAAAATACCAGTTTTTTTATATTAAGAAACGTATATTGGATATAAAAAAACTTGGATAAAAATACTTTGTATTCTGGGTGGAAAAAAACTTTTTTTTCAGTGTACTTATTGATAATATAAAATTTACAAGAAGTTAAAAATAAATATACCTGTAGCGGGAGATCGGTAATTATTTTAGAGAGATAGTAAGTACACAGTCCGTACCAATTGTTTAAATATTCTCTTATGAATACTGCTGATTCAATAGGAACTGAAATAAAAATAATTTTATTATAAAAATGATTTAATTTGGAGGTCAATTTTTTTAAAGCGAATTGAAGTGAATATTCGGCTAAAAAACTTACACATTTGTAATGCAGGCATGGCAGTACTAAAAAATAAAAACAGTATGAAGAAGAAATAACTAGCAATATTACTGGGAGTTTTACTGGCATCTTTTCCAAAATCATAAAAAACAAGACCCAGCAGTAGCCCAACAACAATATGAACGGGTAACCTTAATTTAGTCATGGCCTGAAATATAATCAACTATTAATAACTTATCATTTATAAAAAATATATATATATATATATATATAAATATAAATACAAGATAAAATTACGTTATCTCGTCGAATACAAATCGCTGCTCGCCAAAGAAGAACGTCAAGTTCATTAATCCAAGATGCCTTGCACTGTTTTTCACAACTCTCTTCTTTATCTTCTTTGTCTTCAAGGTCATTATTCGGAAGAACTGCCTCGTCATTGGAATCAACTCTGACGCTTTTCAAAAACGCAGAATGAAAATTATTGGAAATCTTTCTGACGAGCTCTCGATCGCCATTTTGTTGTCCTGTCGCTACTTCGATGACTGCAATAAACTATCTAATTATATTACATAAACAATCAAGTATAATTTATAGCTGACTATTGAAAAAAACAGACATTTGAAAATATTATTAATTTTTAATTATCACTTTGAGATATAATTTTAAAACATTTGCTAAATTTAAATGATTTTTTAGATTTTAATAACAACTAGCAACCTTCAATCACTATGTGACTGCTGAGATTTAAGGATTACCAATATGAAAATTTTGGCTTAATAAATCTAATCACACTTTACATAGTTTGAGTACTTTTTAAATAAATTTTAAAAATAATTGTGCTATGATTGGATTCATTACAAATAACTTAAAATGGACAAATGTGACGGAACAAATTTACAGAACTAACAATCTAATAAAAACTGCTCCAAAAATTAAACATAAAAAATTGACGATTAATAAAAAATATATAGAACCGTAAAAAGGTACAAATTCTTGTCAAGACCTTTCTGATGATATCAAATTCAACTGTAAGAATTCCTTTCAAAATAATAACACGCTCGTCATAAAATCGCTCAAAAAATATCAAAACCAATTTATGATAAAGACATACCCGTTACAAAATTTTTCTTATTCTTTTAATTATATTAATTAATTTTTTATTTATAACCACATTGACATGTACAAAACAAAATAAATAAATTATTGTAAAATTTGAATCTATCTAGAACTATTAACTCGAAAAAACATAATAAATAAATTAATGCAAAAAAGCATATGAAACATTGAAAAGGTCAAATTCAGGTCAAGATCTTCCCAATGATACTAATTTCAATAAAAATAATTCATTTTATCATATAAATACGCCAGAGACAAAATTTTTCTTATTCTCTTGATTATACAAATTAAATTATTATGAAAAAAATTTATTAAAAAAATTCCACATGTAGAAAATAAAAAAAAAAATTAAAAATAAGAATTTTTTTAAATATTTTTTTTATCATAATTAATTGTGATAAAAATTAAAAAATTTGTCAGATTTCTCTACTGATTTCAGTATAACGAATTTAATACCGTAGATTTTTTTTACATTTTTTTTTTCAGTGTTAATATTTTACCAAATTTAATGAATGTTTAATTTGATACGTTATAAAAAAAAATTAGAAAAACGGTTCACCCTAAAGGCCATCCCTGCAACTTCCCGCTCATTTTGTACTTAAACGCTTCAAACTACACATTACGTTTTTGAGTTCTTCGAGCTCAAAAATATTATTTTTGTGTCAATTTGAGCTCTTCGAGCTCAAAACTCTAATAGCAGTTTAAAGACACAATTTTTTGAATTTTCAAACGGCAATAACTTTTGAATGAATGAACCGATTTTCACGCGGTTGGCGGCAATCGACGCAGTTTTTGGAGCTCCATGAAAAATTTCCAAGTTTAAATCGATCGAGCCATGAATTTCGAAGTTATTACAAAAAAACACTTTTTTCGATTTTTTTCGACAACGATATCTCAAGAACGCATCAACCGATTCTAACGTTTTTGGTGGCGATCGATGGGGGTTTTCAAGGTTAAGAGCTGATTAGTTTTTGAGACCGATCGGTTCAGCCAATTCGAAGATATTTAAAAAAAATGAAAAAAAAAACAACTTTTTTTTTCACTTTTTTTGGATTTTCTCGAAATCTACCGGTCCGAATCGGTTCAAATTTTCAGGAAATCTAAGTTTAGTGAAGCCCTTTCGAATGACACCAACCGCGAGGAAATCGGTCAAGTCGTTCAAAAGTTACAAGAGGTTTACACACACACACGTACGGACATCATCGTAAAAATAGTCAGGGAAGCTTCCTGTGACCTTCAAACGTCGAGATCTGATGAAAACTCGATTTTTGTAAAACGGGGTGAAAACAATAACTTTCCGATTTTTGAAAATATGAGATTTTTAGCGAGAAGTTAAAAAGTGAAAGATGCGCCAGTGTAGAAAATTTAAATAATTACTTATGTATGCAAATAATTATTAATCAATATGAGATTATCAATATTTAAAAAAAATTTCCAGATGACTGGTTCTTTTAATATTATAATTACTAAGTTAAATAATAAATTATTACCAAATTCACAGATGTTGTAAAAAGATGGACAAGCAAAGCCCGCTTGCTCAAAAGTTTCAACAAGACTAACCCGAGGTCCGCAATAAAGATCCTGGCCATCAGCAAGCACCAAGATGTTGTCGATCAAAGTCACAATCTGACTGCTAGGCTGATGGATTGAGCAAATTATCGTGCAGCCTTCTTGAGACAATCTCCTCAATAAGCTCATTACTTGGTATGAAGACGCCGAGTCTAGTCCACTCGTCGGCTCATCCAAAATCAAAACCTGGGGGTTTGATACTATTTCGACT